ATGTGTATATACAATGGTTCAGATTGTCCTGCAAATAAATGGCCTGTCAATGCTATAATTTATTAAGTGAAAAGACAGAGTTTCTGAAGAAGGGTCCTGACCCAAAACGTCAACTCTCCTGCTTCTCTGATGCTGCCTGGCCTGCTGTGTCCCTCCAGCTCCACACTGTGTTATCTCTGACTCCAGCATCGGCAGTTCTTACTATCTCAGAGTGTCACATTCTTCCTGGTTTTTTAACTGTAGGTTTCTTACTTCGCTAATGTAAAGTCAAAAAGAAAACTGAAAGTGTCTCCTCGAAACCGTTTCAAGGAGTGCAAAGTAAACATAAGTGAATCTCAAACACGTGACAGAATATGTTGGTCTAAATAAGTCAAAGGTGTCATACTATCACCCTCTAGTGGTTAAATCAGTGTATCTACACAGTAATATACAAAAAATGGTACTGATTTCCAATCTGTTGAGTATATATTACATTAAAGGTATACATTAATTGTATCATGTATTTACAAAAGAAAGTTTCAACTAACCAAAACCATTAATGCATAACAAATTCTCAGCTGCTATTTTGAAATTTTCTTTTGAGAGGAAGGAATTAAATTTGTAGCAAAATGCAGCTTAGCTTTGGCTAAATCCAAGAGATAAGGAATTGCAGGAGATTAAGCTTTGAAGTTCAGTCCTCATCTAAGTTTTCAGTCATGTATTGTGCTCTGTATGACAGTTGATAGTTGGTATAATGACATGGCCATTCTTTAGTCAATGCAACCCGAAGTCCCTAGTTCAGTCTCACATTGCAGGCTACTTGTTAAACAAACTGAAAAAGGAATGGGATACAGCATGTTCTCTAGGAGGATTGGAACCTATGAATTTAAGGAAATACATTTTCAAATTGTAATAAAGCTCTGGAATACTCGGAAGGCCAGTCATCATTTGTAAACACAGCAAGAATTCTGAAAAATTAACTAGAATATTTTCTTCATCAATACTAACTGACTGCAGGATGCTTTCAATGTTTTCTATTTTTAAATCAATTTTTTTGTTGAATGGAATGAATCAGGAATATTCCTCTCTCACTTACAAAAAGCAATCTTAAGGACAGTTCTATGTGATAAGCAGGACCATGATGTTCCTATCCAACATATCACCTCTCTTTTGTATTCGTTGTGCTGGCTGCCAAGATTATTCATTCAAGACCCTGGAGTGAGACTCAACCCACAAGCTTCCGACTCTTGAGCTGCAGGAAACACCAGCAAACCAATCGATAAAATAATGGACAAAAGGTTTACATTTGTCTTAAATATATTTATTCTGCTTTAATGTAAAGTCAAAATGATATAGCATATAACATTGTCTTTTGCAGCAGTTAAAGGAATTAATGCTAATTTTAATACCACTACTTAGGCAATTAACTTTTTTTTAATATTAACAACCTATTTAAAAATGATCAATATCAATCAGTAGTTCAAAGAAAAAAAATCAACTCTTTAATATTTCAATATAAATGTCAAACCCATAGAAGCTAAGTTGTTTACAAGCATTCATTGACTTAAGTATCAATAAACTGTCAGTGATATTGTAGATGATCTAAACCTTACCAATTTTCTATGTGAATAAAACTTAACTAAGACATAATTTTCTTTCAATATTAGTTTTACAGACACTATTAGCACTATAAAACTCTGTCCCACACCTCATTCACTGAAACACAAGGTAAACTGTACAAAAGTGCATCAAGGAAAAGAAAGCTCTACTTATATGTAAAAAGAACCTGCTTCCCACTTCATTCCCCCCAGACATTATTTCTGATGTTATCTCAAAATAAGATCAACGAGAATCTCTGTAAAGGAAAACCACTATTAGCCATACAAGGCCAGCTGTCAAACTGTTTTGATATTTTTGATATTAGCAAAGAAGAGATTTTCCTATTAACTTTCCTCACATTACAAATCTCACACACACCAAGAAATGGTGCACAAAGCTCTTCTATCCTTACTTAGCTTTTGGCTTGCAGGCTGGCAGTATGCCCTGGGGCTGGCTTTCTTCAATGCTCTAATGATGCAATCATTTGATGAAAACATTTTTGAAAACTATCAGTCTGTAACATTCTAGACTCCGCTGCTTTTGTACCTACACTAATTGCATTTACAGTTCAAGGCAATTTTGATAGCAAAACCAGAAAAATAATGAAAAAAAAAGAGTTGGCATTCATTAAGAACCAGATTGCAGAGGATTTTTTAAATACTTGTAGTGTGAGGAGAGTCCAGAGATTTATGAAAGTGGCAGGTGAGTCACAGAGTAGAAGTATCAGCCCTATTTCTGACAGATTCCACATTTGCCAGTAAGGAAAGGAGGCAAGACATGAGTCATACAGGAGTGAAGCCTGAACTGAGCACAGCTATTCCAATAGGCCGCTTATTTTACCTGCAAGGACCCTAATACCACAACATAGGAGTCACAAATTTATGGAGTAGATGTAAAAATTCTTGAAGGCAGATAAAATTTGCTTAACTGTCATAATTAGAAATTTCTCAATCACCTACTCTTTCATCATCCACAGCCAATCCTTTATTCATCCCTGTAGAGGGACATATCCCTTATATTCATCCCTACAGGATGCTCTACCTTATGTTGTCCAAAGACAACCAATTTTTAGGTCTTCCTTCACATCTGTATTTCAAATACAAAGCAAACTAGTGAACCTGCACTATATCCACTCCATAGGAAGGATGTAAAGGTGATGGTGGAATACAAATCTGCATACAACGCTCCAATCTTATGAACATGCTTCGGAGATAGTTTCTTCAAACAGTACATTCTGGAACTGACCAGAAGGCAATTCTGAGGAAGAGTGACTCGACCAGAAACGTTAACTCTGATTTCTCTCCATAGATGCTGCCAGACCTGCTGAGCTTTTTCAGCAATTTCTGTTTTTGTTGCAGTTTTTATTAGACTTGGTATTGTGTCATGAGACGGAATTAATTCAAGCCCTTAGAGTAAAAGATATCACAAGTAGCAGCAATCACAATATAGTTGAATTTGACATCCAGTTTGATGGTGAACAATTACAGAAGTATTATGTGGAGAAGGGTTTAGGTGTTCTCATGCAGGAATCTCAAAAAGTTAATATGCAGGTATAACTCATAATCCAGAAGGCTAATGGAATGCCATCATTTTTCATACTTATATCCTTTGTGCTGGTATCATTTGATAAAGAAATCATTTGATTGTTAATGGTTGCAACCTATTTGAAGTTAGTTAGAATCAGTTAGTCCTAAAGTAAATCAGTACCTTCAGCTTGTCTTCGAGAATTTTCCAGGTCTCATCTGGATCTTTTGGATTATCCAGTGAAAGCATGGATATATTAATTTGCAAAATCTCTCCTTGCTGATGGCAAGCAAGATTCTCAGTGCTATCTTTTCATGATCATCGAATACTGGGTCTGTAAAACAAAACCGCATATGTTGTTTAAAAAAGTTGTAATTCAGGAAAATTGTAACTTTCTGCCCATAATTTTGCATTTGCCTTTCTTTTCTCTTTGGTGGTTTTTGTCTTTTTTACAGGAAGTTGACTGTAGCACAGTAAATATTTCTTTTACTGATTTTCTTTTGTCCAATTTCATTTGTCCATTTATTGCTTCTGTTTCACTTTATTTTTCTTGTTGCTGTCTTTTTGATAGATCTTGGTCCTTTCTAATGAATGTTGTTTTGAAGAACTATAGCCTGTAGTACAAAATTTGCAAATTTGTCATTGTAATTATCAGCCTTTAGATGGATTTCACTCCAAATAAGGAGACATCATGTCATGCAGACATCCCTTCACTTTGGCACAATTTGAAGTAACAAAATTATGAAATGAAAAGACCCATGGACATAGGTAAGTCTTCTAACGTAGAAAACTATTCTGAAGTGTTTTTGTGAGCTGCGTTTTCTTTCAGAAGACCATTGTAGCTATGACGTGAGGGTGATTCAACTGCTTTCTTTTCAAAAAAAAAAATCAGTAGAATCATAGAGTCCCTACAGTGTGTAAACAGGCCCTTTGGCCCAACAAGTCCACACCGACCCTGAAAGCATCCCCACCCAGACCCATTCCCTTACAACCCACCTAATCTACACATCACTGAACACTATGGGCAAGTTAGCATGGCCAATCCACCTAGCCTGCACATCTTTGGACTGTGGGAGGAAACCAGAGCACCTGGAGAAAACCCACGCAGACACGGGGAGAATGTGCAAACACCACACAGAACGTCGCCCAAGGCTGAAATCAAACCCAGGTTCCTGGCACTGTGAGGCAGCAGTGCTAACCGCTGGGCTACCGTGCTGCCCTGAAGTACTGAAGGCACATAGGCTACTTTTCTTTTCCATTTTTCTTATAACATGAATGAACTCATATTTAAATCAGGAAGAAAGTGTCTCATTTTTCTCACTGGTCAATGCCTATCTACTGGTTTGTACTGATAGAAAGTGATACTGTTAATTATCCAAATGCCATGATGTCCACAGTTGTTGTCCAGTGCGGGGTCTGCACAGCAGCATGACCATCTCTGGCTCGGAGGTGGCGGATGCGGAAGTGATGGCACCGGTGGTAACAGGAAAGGAGCACATTGCCAGGATCCCTCGGGGGCAATGTTGGACGGCAGTAACTGGAGGAGCAGAGAGGGTGAAGTCTATGAAGAGGGAAAGACGAACTTTTGAAGCTGTTTCCAGTTTTAGTAATATTAATGTAATATTAAATGATTCAGTATTTTACCATTTATACAATTTATTCAGTAATTTATTCTGCAATCCAAGATGGTGTCAGAAACTAGGTACAAGTGACAATATTAAATAAATTTAAATCTAAATTAGGTTTCAGATATCTACCACTGAGATTTTGAGTTGTCCTTTTTAACGATAGCTACCGCTGCTAAGTATAATATGAATTTTCGGAGGGTTATCTTTACCTGATGCACCAATGCTAACTTTTTCTCTTGTAACATAAAAAAAACTAAGACATGAGTAATGTTGCATTGAAAGATCTACCAGATATTTATTACAGTTCATTAAAGTATACAGTATTACATTCAAAGACATATCCATAGCTGGGCTAATATTCAGCTATTCAGTTACAAAGAGTACTGTACTTCCATCAGCATGTCATTCATCAAGTGGGCCCTATTTAAGATGGAGCCTGAGATCTGTTTACACTCAAGTCATGTGCTTTGTTACAGCGATGATGATATCAGCATGTCACTTAAAGGTGTACTGACATACTAATTGTGAGAAGTAATACAAACAGGCTGCCTTGTTAATACCTGTACAGTTACTGGCCTGAAATACAATTTGTTGTGCAACTGAAATCAAATCTTTCATGAAAATCAGAGACAAACATTAGCCTATGACCTTATTGAACATTGTTCAAATTTATTGGTTATCATTGAAAAGTACATTGATCCTACATTTGACATTATGAAAATCACATTATAATAATAGCACAATCTTCTGCCATGATAATGTTATCAATTGAAAGTAGTATTCCAATAGTTGCCCATCTTATGATATAAAAATATAAACGAAACTTTGTTTTGTTAGATAAAATTTTTAATATAAAAATACTGTGTTCACATTACTGTTCGGTAATGATAGATTCAACATATGTTTCAAATATTATAAAACTCTACATTTTTCACTGTTTGCATGATTCTCACTTCTCTGCAAATTGTATTTTCATTTTTATACACATGCTTGTACAAGTCATTTGATGTTGACAATAATAAACAAGAGAAAGTACCTGCCTGCAGTTTCTACAGCTACCAGAGTTGGTTGATTAAAAAAATGCCAGTACTATGACAAGAACATTGTTACAAGATTAACGTATGTTAAACTTTACAAGTCACTCTTTACTATTGAAAGTGATATGATTATTAAATCTCTAGAATTTCTGCGTTCACTTCACTTCTCCATTCATAATACGGCATATACAAGACTTTGATGTTTTTGTCTGTTCCACATGGTCAACACACAAACAATCAGATTCAAATTACTTTAAATGTAAGTAATTTAGTTGCAGATAATATTCTCAGTCAAATATTTATTACTAATCCTTTGTAGATTCCATGATATTATCTCTCATTTTAAGAGATGCTCTAATACTTGCCTTATGGAGAATGCACTTCAGGAAAGACAATAGCTTTGTCCATTGTATGATATGGTAGCATATGCAAAGTGAGGAATTTAGAGGTGAACAACAGTTAGAGGGGAATGTACTTGCCATAGAAAGAGTACAGGAAAAGAGCAAATTTACAATAGTTATTTCTATATGTCTAAATGCATCTATTTGGGAATCAGAATGGGTGAAAAGATGAAAAGAAAGGTAGTTTAGATGTGGCACCTTGTCAGGAATGAGGTATGAATGCTGTATTACTGTAAATATGCCTTGCAATGTTGTTTTTCCAACACTGGCAGTTTTTTAAAAGAACTTCTGATTTCATAGGGCCATCATGAACTCCAGCTTATTTTTATATGAAGCAGCCATATACCTTCACATGGATTTTTGCATGCATTATAAAAATACTGTGGCACCAATAGTTTCTTGTTAATGCAATCATAAATTACTATTGTTAGCAAGGTGAATTTAGTAATTTTACAAGCTCACTATATAATCTTAATCTTTGTCTTGAATAACCATAAAATTTAGAATCATCTACAAAAGTAAAACTAATGATGAGTTAAACATATTGGAGTCTACAGCAATATTGGAATTTTTCTAAGCGACTATACAAAATACTGTGTTAAATTAATCTAGCTGTCTAACTGCCTGGCTATTATAAGCATTGAGCAATCTAATTTATTTTGACTATTCTAGCACAATCTGAAGAACACATTAATCCTGTCACTACTAGATGTTTCTTTTTTCTTATTTTGGTTATCAGGATAGAACAAAAATAACTTGTCAATCATTGTGATCAAAGTATTCCCAAGAAACTGAAAACTGTGGATTTCGTCTCCATCCATCCACCTTTTCTTCTGCTTAATGGCCTGGTTCTTAGAATTCGACTTGGCATCTCCCAGTTACCACTTATTTACATGTTTGTAACATCCTTTTGCTTTTAACCCTGGTGATCTTATAATATGAGTCTTTGGTCTTCACATTTGTTCTTGAATGTAAAGGGAAAGTAAATTCATCTGGATAGAACAAGACATTAGCAATTCCTTTCCAACAAATAATCACTGCTGTAAATGGAGTTGTTGCAGGAGTTCATTTTACATCTTATGTAACTTCACATTAGCTTGTTCATGGCTTATGTTTGCATTTGTATAGCTCAGTGCTAAGAGCCTTTGCTTGCTGAACAAACTGCAAATGCAGATCTTCATTCACAATGTAGTTCTTGTAAATGTTGGCAAGCCTGGTGCAAATATTAAACAAATCTTGCTTGTTCGCTATTTCAGTAGCTGCAGCAAAAGCCAAATGGAAGTAGCCAGCGGCATCATGTGCATCCTGAAATCAAGGATAAGGAGAACTTTCTTATTGAGAATAGATAAATTATTTTAACAAATATGAAAATTTATCATTGTGACTCAAAGACAAGTTCAAATTTATAAATTTTAGTTAATGATTTAAAAGGAATAATTACTGTAACATGCAACAAAACAGTTTTAAAAATAGGTTTGATAGGCAACTTGTTTTGAATAAGTTTAACTATTCACTATCAAGTCTGTCTTTTCCACCAGACATTCGCAATCAGTTCCGCCACATCCTCTCTCTAACTGGTTAGGTCATGGGTATAATTTCCAATTTTTCCCTCATTTATAAATAATCCAGGGAGATTTCAGGATATCAATCAATATTATTGTCCCTGACCACTTACTTTCTACATTTATGTCTATGACACCTGAAGGACAAATGTATTCCCATACCGGCTGAGGTCAGTATGTAGGACTCCCCATTCTCAACCTCACCCTTTGCCCTCAGGTTAAACCACAACCCGTCATCTCTCTCTCTCTAATGAGACAGCAGTCCTGAGTGGTTTGGGCAGAAGCGTTCATTACATTTTAAAAAGGTTTTGCAGTGTATTTAAGGTGCAGTAACCACCAACATTTTTGTCCAAGAAGTGGAAAAGAGGATTAGGCCGATAGACTCTTTATCAGTCATCATGTACACAAAGGGCTGAATTGACTTCTTCTGTTTTCTCAATTTCTACAAATATTTTATTAGATTCTACATATAATTATAGAATGACAGCATAGTAGGAAACTATTCTGTCTATGCCTGATCTTTGAAAGTTCCACTAACCGGCCCATCTCCAGACCTTGCTATTTTTGCATCTTTCAATAAGTCATCTGATTCCTTTTTAAAAGATTATCATTGAGTTCACTTCCACCATCCTAGTAGATCTCATCTGCATCCTAAGGATTGAAGATTTTCCTTTATGTGTTCACAAAACTTCAATTGCTGCCTAACTAGTGCTTTATAAACTTTAGCATAATTTTCTTTCCTTTGTACTTAACAATTCTGTTTATAAAAGTAAGGATTCTTTATGCCTTTTTTTTTAAAAAAACAACCTTCTAAACTTGTGCAGGCATCAAAGACAAGTTTCTGCGTTCCTTGAACCCCATTAAAATGTAAACGTTCAGTTCATAATTTCTCTATTCAGTCTTTCAACACAGATAAATGAATTTGCATATCACTGCATATTGTCTCCATATCCATTTGACCTCCAAGTTTCTTATCAACTTCAAAATTTGAAATTATCATCTACATACCCCACTCTTGGTCAATAATATTTATCAATGAGAAAAAAGTTCCTGGGGACATTACTGTGCACATCAATCAATCTGATAAACAACAGCTCAACGCATACCCTGCTTTCAATTATTTATTCTGTATGCATACAGTTACCTCCCCTTTTAAGAAGCTTCAATTTTGCTTATTTGTCTATTGTGTGATATTTTATTAAACACATGTTGAAAGTCCATTTACGCAGCACCAACCATATTATTTGATAAATCTCTTGATTACTACAAAGTGTGATTTATTTATTTATAATTCTTAGCCAGTTATTTATGTAGCTTTTTCTTTTAATGAATGCATCAGTATCCATTAACTCTTCTTTCACATGTCCACCAATCTGTAATATAATTTCCTTCTAATCCTGAATAGAGAGTTCTTCCTTTCATCCATGTGTCCTCAATTGATTTTACCATTCCTCATCTCACCATACTTGAAAAATCATGTGGGAATCCTCCCTCTTTTTATTGTAATAATATGCATACTTCCTGACTATTGCGATAAATACTAAATTTATTCATTAGAAGACTTGTTGTTGGAGGATAATAATACGATGATGGTTTCTGGTTCACTTTCCTGAAACTTGTTCATCGAGAAGTCAGGCTTATGAAACATCATTATTGTGATTATTATGTTGTAATTATGGAAAAAAAATCCTTTGGTAAAATTATAAAGTAACTTCAGTAACAATGTAAAACATGGACTACCGAACTAATCCATATATCATTTCCTTTACATACTTAACATTAATTTTCAGTGCAAGAGCATCAGCAGACTTATTTGATACAAGCACGGAGAATGCTGGAGAAACTCAGCAGGTCTGCCAGCGTTGGTGAAAAAAAAACTCTGAACAGTCACATCAGGCTTGAAATGTTAACTCTATTTTTCTCCACAGATGCTGCCAGACTTGCTGAGTTTCTCCAACATTCTCTGTTTGTTTCAGACAAACAGCATCTGCAGTATTTTGATTTTATTCAGACTTATTTAATATTTAGCTGCTAATGTCAAGTTTTTGCTACCATAAATTTAATAGTTCTTAAATGAGCCAACAGAATATTTTGACAGACATAAATTAATGTCTGCATGCCATCTTTTGACATGCTATTTTTATTGGGGGGGGTTCATACACTAAAAGACAGCATTTTCACTGCCTTAGGGCAGTACCACAATTTGGTGGTACTGAACCATCAGTGCATGTTACCCATGATCGATTTAGAAAACCATGACATTAGTTGTTAGGTATCGCATCGTGCCAAATTACTCATCCTAATTGTGGATATTTATTGAGAAAAATAACAAGGCCTGGCATTTTAAGAGACAACACAGTGTGGAGCTGGAGGAACACAGCAGGCTAGGCAGCATCAGAGGAGCAGGACCGTTTCAGGTCGGGACCCTTCTTCAGAAATGGGGAGGGGAAAGGGAGCTCAGAAATATAAATAGACAGAGGAGGGTTGGTGCTGTGGAAGGTAGGTGGGATGGTGTTAGGTGAATGAAGGTAGGGGTTGGTGGGGATTGGTCAGTGGAATGGGAGGGGCAGGTAGGTGGGGAAGAAGGTAGACAGGTTGTGTCAGACCAAAGAGGCGAGGATGAGGGGGAGGGTTGGATATGGGATGAGGCCGGGGATGGGGTGATTTTAAAACTGGTGAATTCTATGTTTAGACCATTGGGCTGTAGGCTCCCGAGGTGGAATAGGAGGTGTTGCTCCTCCAGTTTGCTGGTGGTGTCATTGTGGCACTGGAGGAGGCCCAGGATGGACATGTAACCCAGGGAGTGGGAGGGGGAGTTAGAATGGTTCATAACTGGAAGGTGTTGTCGTTTGTCACGTACAGAGCACAGATGCTCCACGAAATGGACCCGAGTCCACACTTGGTCTCACATCGGGAGCAACAGATAAAGTAGACCAAGTTGGAGGATGTGCAGGTGAACCCCTGTATCATGTGGAAGGTTTGATTTGTGCCTTGAATGGAGGTGAGGGGGGTGGTATAGGGGCAGGTGTAGCACATCTTGCGGTTGCAGGGAAAGGTGCCGGGTGTGGTAGGGTTAGTGGGGAGTGTGGAGAGGACGAGGGAGTCGCGGAGGGAGCAGTCCCTACGAAAGGCAGACGGGGTGGGGAGGGAAATATCTCTTTGGTTGTGGGCCCATCCTCCCTCCCACCTCCTTGGCTTGACACAACCCGTCCATCTTCTCTCCCACCTATCTGCCCCATCCATCCCACTGACCAATCCCCACCTCCCCCTACCCGCATTCACCTATCACCATCCCACCTACCTTGCCCAGCCCCATCCCTTCTCTCTCTATTTATTTCTGAGCTCCCTTCCCCCTCCCCATTTCTGAAGAAGGGTCCCAACCAGAAGTGTCAACTTCCTGCTCCTCTGATGCTGCCTGGCCTGCTGCGTTCCTCTAGCTCCATACTGTGTTGTCTCTGACTGCAGCATCTGCAGTTCTTGCTATCTCCTTGGCCATTTTAAGAATGTTCATTCAACTTTAATGCATATTCCTCATTGTTGGTCAGCTGACAAAATGATTGCAGAAAAGCCAGTTAGAGAAACTTTTCCAACCTTGAGTTTGTGGAGTGTAATGTCACCTAGTCTCAAGTAAACCTTCATGTAGTACATTGCTTCTTCACGAGATTGCAATAAGTAGGGACTGAGTGATAATGCCTTCAAGTAATAGTTCTCAGCCATCTCATATTGCTGGTGTAAGTAGTATACTGTAGCTAGTCGATAAAAAGCAATTTGTTCCTTCAGTTGGCTTCCTAATTATTGAGAGGAGAAAAAGCAACTTTAAAGTATTTTCATCACGAAATTATTTTTATTCTAATTTTTTAAAGCAAAATATTAAATGCGTTAAGAGTATTAGCTTGCACAATGGGACACAAATATGGAAGAGAAGTTACCATCAGTTCATATCAATAATTTCGTTCAGTTATCAAAAGATACTTCAGTACAGAGGAAGCCACTTTTCTCATCATTCCTACACAGATGCTACCTCTGCCATAGGAGCATCAATTGCAATACAATTACCGACAATATTTTAACATTATTTTCCTTCAAGTCTTGAGCTCTTGCATTTGCTTAGTAAGGTGTTTGTATATCATTTACCTAATTATGTCCTGAAAGTTTTAGCAAGTTTCACAGTTTATCTGTTTGCAACCAAACACACAAAGTCAATGTTTTAGGAAGCACCCATCAAAACTAATACGAAAAGGTTACCCCCATTTATTACATATTTGTGATTAACTGTTTGCTAACAGTACTCAGGATCCTTTGCATATATCGATAATAAATATATTTAATGTCATGCTCTCTGTAGAAACCCCATTATCTTCTAACCTTAAATACTAGTTGTATTACATTTCAGGTCCAGCTTCCCCATCTGTTCCAAATTTAGTAATAGACTAGGAGTTCCATTTGTCTCTAGTCGAAAGTTGCACAAGAGTTGGCCTGAGATCATAATAATAAGTCAAATTTTAAGCTCATCTGGGATTAATGTGGTTGACCCAGATACCGAAAAAAAAATTTAAGAAATAAACAAATGCAGCCAGCTCTCTTATAAAAGGTGTGTTTGCCAGTCACTGCAGCAATGGTATGAAGCCAACATGACTTCTTTGTATACTGTGAAAGTTAGGATATTTTCTTGATCTGAAGCATGACTCAAGCAGATGTTCCAGGCAGGCACACACCTCACTTTTAGACCAGGATACAATCCCAAATGAATTTTGACACTAAATTATCTGATCTCAAATTAAAATAGCAGAAATTTCGATATTTAATCATGCAAATAAATGTTACTAAATTTAAATGACTAATTTGAAATTAATACATACTATTTTTCCAGTCATAGTTAACAAACTTGTTGAATAAATGGAAAATTACTCACCAGTATTTATGCTGAGTCTAACAGCAGCAATCGCATATTCTAGGGCTTGTTCTAAATGGTTCAGCATAATATTAAGCTCAGTTAATTTATTAAAAAGTCTGAGCTCTGCATCAGTATCTCCCGTCATCCTAGCCAGAGGTACTGCCCCAGCCTGAAGAATAATTCATAAAGTTTCACCTCAGACAGATCAGACTGCTAAGTACACACAAAAGCGAAATGTTGCTTTCGCATAAAGTTAAATATATAGGGCTGAATTTTACCAGAATTTGACTCAGTGGAGATTTTGTGGAATTTAATTAATGGTTTTGCTCCATGAGCTCCAGGGCATTTTCTCACAAAATTCCTGGTCTTTCTCTTCATTAGTTATGCACCACGACTCTATGGCTCCACGCTCACACTATCATACAATCAGCTGCAGAGGAAATACCATAACCTGCTGGAATTTAGTCATCGATACCATATTTAAAACCAAGCTAGGCACCAGGTCAGTTGCTGCAAGCCAGGAACTGCCCTTCACAGTGTGTTGCTGAACAATATTAAAGGGCATGGCTGACAAACAGAAGTTGGATCCCAGCTTCATTGACATGGACCTGAAGGTCCTGGTGGATGGGGTGGTTGAGAAGACCCATCCTTTTTCCTCAGAAAAGCCAGAGGGGGCCAAAGCACCAGACCCTATCACCCCAGTATGAAGTTGCCACCCAGGTTAGTGCGAATGCTCAGCAATGCTGAAGACAACCAATGACCTTCAGTGCTTCGCAAGGGTAATTGCCACCACTTTTCCTTTGTTACTTCACACTCACTGCACACATTTCCCACGAGAACTGGTGGCCACCCACTCTCACAATTAGACACATCGTCTTCCCTCAATCCCACCTCCCAACAGCACTAACCCTGCATGCCCTCACCGAGCATCCTATTCACTCACTCAGGATAATTTACCACCTTTTCCCCACTTGCACCAGCACTAACAGCTGTATCAATCACTTCCACCTCTCTCAACCCCATCCTTAGTCTCATTCTAAGAAAACAAAAATGGCCCACAATAGGGCAAAGAGAGCCACAGCAGGTGGTGGATTGTTTGACATCCATTCCTCACTCCCTACCTTCAGAATGTTTTTGCCTTAGGGGAGAGGGAATGTGATTGCTCATATCATGATACTGAGATTTCCATGATCTGGCAACCTGAAATGATTACTTGTCAAGTCTTATTCTGCTCTCCCATTACCAGCACAGTGAATGTATTCTTAGCATGTCCAAACTCGTACCCTTATTTTGCAACTCATTCCTTCTCTTGGCTCCTGCCGACACCAGTGCCATCCACATGGTCTGTGCGCTGAAGAGAGCAGGTCTTCAGGACATACTCCCCTCCCCAATCCCTGAGGAAGATGACACACTCCCCTCGGATTCAACACCAGCAAAGCTGCAATCCCCACCAGCTCAGATACTGACACCTCGATAGCTACTTTAGCTAGATTAAAGTCGGAAGCACATTCTGGTGAAAACAGCTGGCTAAGGAAGAAACACTCCAGATCGCAAACACTCAGAGGACAGCTGAGGACCAGGTATCTGCTCAGCCACTGGTTGGAGAGTATCTGTAGTGTTAACCAATAACAACTTCATTCAAATGAACAAGCAGATACAGGAGCAGCAAAAAGGCTTGTTAAAGGTTGATTTAGTCCAGAAGTGTAGCTGTACAGATCAGAGACTGTTATGGAAAGCTTAGTCTAGCACACTCAATGCCAGCCAGATATACACACAGACCTGCACTCCATCACTTTAGCAACATTGGCAAGGCAACAGAGAGACAAGAGACCTGGAACTCCCTCAAGGTGCACCTTCCTCACAAGGTGACAGGATGGTGCCAGTAGGCTCCCACACAGAGGAGGAACTACATACAGGCCTCTTCTCAGGACACTCCAAAGGTGCCTGGGACTTCTGCCTCCATCCTTCCTGCAATCTCTAACTCTGTGGAATTTCAAGCCAAGGAGGGTGAGCCTGCATCTAGCTGGGACACTCTCAGCATGTATGGACCTTCCAACCACAAGCTCTGGGGTTACTTACCCAAACCTCCAAAGCCAACGAGCTTTATTATAGAGCTGGCTTGCTCTACCCCAGCTGCAAACACTGTGACTACACCTCAATGTAGGGGGTAGGAAATGGGAAAAGAAATCCTTATGAGGGCACAGAGATAGTGAAGATGAAACTTGATTGTAGATGCATCATCATATTTTTAAAATATATGTTCAGTGAGTGACTGTCATTGTAGCTGCAGCTATAAGAATGAAGGTAAGGAGGCCAGTCAACCTTAGTGCTATGCAATGTTCTAACTCTCTATTACTTCTTCCACAGCACCTGTTCTAACTTGAAACCTTGCTATGATTGAATGAGTGAACATCACCTCTAATGAAAAGCATGGAGGGTGACACAGGTAGGTCTTCACAGAGTGAGTCGCTGGTTTTGCCCATTAATCTAAGTGAACTGCCAAACTTTCATGTTCCTTTCTGCTTTGCTGTCCCGGTAAAGCTCATTCAGCTTTGATCTTGCCATCCAATTCTTTCATTTAGCTGTTCATCTCTGTACTTTATGCGCTGAACCCTGGGCATACAGCTTAATTGTACCACTGTCCATATCACGATCAACCTGCCCCCATCAAAACAAAGATGGCAGTGACTGGAGAGGATTCTCCCTCCTGCTGTACCCCTTTCTGTCACATGCCTGATTCTTTCCCTCACTTTCCCTTCACAATTATTGGTCCCTCTGCATCCCAGCATTCTACCTCCAATCAGAATTGACTTCCCTGGCTTTCCAACCATGGAATTGGCCCCTGATTAATCTCCCTTGATTTGCAGTGAAGAGACACCATGAGAGACCATGGCCCAATTCCCTGACCAATTTGGAAAGACATCCCCAACTGATGAGTAACCAGAGCCCTGACCAGCCTCTGCACAACTCCACAACTAACATACAGTTAATTTCCAAACTGGTTGCACCGGTCCTGCGGGACTGACTGTGGCCCACTCACTGGATTACTGTAATGAAGCAAATCCACTGCCTCTGATTGGCCCAATCTGCCGACTGACCGTGACAAGCCACTGGACTGATATCAGATTACGCTTCTGACCTATAATACTAGTAATCCCTGATTGATGACAGTCCCCCTTGATTCATCTTAAAACTATTCTGTTTAGACTTTGAGACATGGCAATTTGGTTGACACACACACAGTGTGCTGCTGGTGCATGATGCAACTGTGATATTGACTTAGCATGGTACCATATACCAATACGTCCAACCCTTTGACTGATTGTTGCAGGCAAGCATGACAAACTACTAGGCTTTGACTCTGCTCTCATAGGCAAAGCAGGATAGAAGTATTTTGAGGCTGTAAGTTTTGAGTGAGGGTGACAATGTGCAAAAAGGCAAGGCAAGACATGGATGCTATGAGCATCAAAGCAGGCGTCAAATAAGTGCTAAGAGAGCAAACAAAGAGACCTGAGATGGACCCTGCTCCAATTCATGAGATGGTGCCTGTCCCTGACAACAAGTAATCTGGCAGCAGCATTACAAAGTGAAGTACTGAAGTATAGAACTGTATTCTAAGTGAGTATCACAATAATGTGGTGAGACTGGTGTGTGGCTGATATCAATCTCCTTGCACAAGGGATTCAGATGGTAGCTATGCAATGGAGGTACTCTGAGATGCTGAGACAGCTAGTTAAGCTGGAAACCAGACGAGCAAGTCGTGAGTTGAAACCGGCAGGTACCAGCTCAGGCTTGCGTGTTCCATTGATTTAATGAATATAATTTTGTAAGTGAATAGCAATCCACCAAACTTGAATGACTATTCATTAAATTTAAAATAGCTTGCAAAAATTACAAATGATCAAACCACACATGATATTTGCATTAGTATTAAATAGCTCATTCTTCCTTTGGGATCTGCCAGCAAGGACTTGATTATAAAAAAATCTCTCAAAATGAACTGAAACATCCTATTGCGAGTTAAGTGTTTTTCTTGGTGTCCTCTGTACTGCATCAACAGAAGGCCCAGACTAGACTTTGTTCCGGTCAAAGGGCTAGCATCTCCCTGAATAGATGTTTTCAAATCTTATCTAAAGAACGTCTTTACTAGTAATAGAGCCCTTGCTTTATACTGAAATAAAATTTCAGCCAAGATTATATGCTTACTTCCTGAGAATAAAAGATTAAAGACATTCACATCTAGAAAGTGAAAGGCCCAATTAGATACCATTGTCACACTGCAAGTGTAACATGTTTCTGTGATAATGGATAACATATGCTGCACAATCAGATTCACATTCGGTTAGATCTTGACCCTGTAGTGGCCAACTGGCAGAGGCAGGTCAACTTCCAAGGTCCACTCAGAAGACCAGCAGCTCTGCGGCCTGGGCAACCTCTCCAGCAGAGCCAGGTATAACTGAGGCAAGACAGGGGCCATCAGGGACCTTCAGCCCGGGGCATCCTCAAGAAGTGTTTATGAAATTTGAAAAAAGAGGAGGATTGAATACAGTGAGGATGCTCAGGGTGAGTGAGAAGATCCTTCTGAGCATCAGTTTAGACAACAGGAGCAGAGAATGGAGCATGAAGCATCTGGCACTAAAGGTGCCCGAGTCTGCCTCAGAGAAACGGCCGTTGAGCAGTTAACCTCTGCGTATGGAAGGTGTGGGGGCTGAGGGAGAAACGCACCACTGGAACTAAACCTTAAAACCATCCCTATCCGGAGCTTTAGTCATGCAAATCGGTTGCCCAACTCAGTAATGCAGGCAGTGATCCAGGTCCCAAGTTACCCCAGAAAACGTCTCAATGTAGGATTTCCCGTTTTTGCTAAATACCCCTTCTCCCCACATATTTCCAGCCCCTATCCCCTGTGAGGCCTCCACAGGGTCAGCAACATCCAGCCCTTTAAATTCAGCCACTATTATTCTCTAACCCACTTGTAAGAGCAGACTTTTAACTACCAGCTAAAAATAGCCACATATCTAGTCTGTTCCAATTAACAGCATTGAGAAGAGAACAGAATCAATTTTACCTGTGTTGGGAAGATCTATGACATCCCATCTAAGGTGAGATGATTAAAAATTAAAGTGAACTCTTATCCAAGTAATAGGGATGTAGGCTTTTAATATGCAAGACATGAAAGAGCACATTTAAATCAAACTGATAGGATCCAAGTCAAGAAAATAGTAGTCTCCAGAAGAATCCACACATTTTATGAAAATGATTGCTCTGCATTATTGCCCTTGCTGAGGGGCTGACAGGATGATTGCCAAAGGCTGGGAGTAAGGGTTGGGCAATACCTCCTCTCCCTCTTGTGACTGAACCCATCATTCCCTGAAGTAAGGGCAATCATCCATTATTCTTCCTAGGCAGCTCCTTGGGATTCAGGGTGACTTTGTCCCATTCTAATGTTTTGGGTCATGAGGTGACTAAACAGTCCAATATTGAATCGGTGAACTCTGTCACAGGTGAGGCATGCAGTGTTTGCTGAAGTAGGCGGATGAAATGCAGTGATTTTCACATGATCCTGCTGCTCTTCACACTTGGCCTCCATTTGGGCCGGTCAGAGACAGTTGTCATTTCTGCAGATGCTTCTTCTGCAGTTTGGGCTGTCTTGGGCTAGATATCCCTTTCAGCCAGTGGGGAAGCTTTAAGGATACCCACAATGCGATTCCTCTGCCTTCCTTGTAGATACTTACATCTGGCTGCCCTACATTGATGGCATGTCCTCCCACTGACTTCACTCCCTGCCCCCATCTCAAACCTCCAACTGGGGGCACAACATCAAAGGACAATTTTTAGTGCAATACTGACATTATTCAAAGATTTTCAGTACTTGTCATTATGATAATCCAACACTATAATATGTCTGACACTTACCCTATAAAACGATGTTGCTTTCTCTCGCTCCCTAGGCCCATTGTAAAACATATCCCCTGCTGCTTCATTGAGTTTCATTATAAAGTGCAAATTCTCCGTTTGCTGTGCTGTTTGTATAGCTGCCTGAGTGATTCATAAGAATCAAAGATATAAATTATTAATAAAGTAGGCTCTAAACAATTTATGTTTTAAAAATCTATGACATTCTATTCAATGGCTTTCAGTTGAACAATTCAAACCACTCACACAATTGTCTTGCCCTTCTTTTTCAGATGGAAGACAGGTTCGTTCTTATTTCTCTAAGAAAAACAAACTGAAGATATCTTCGTCTTCCCACTTAATCCATCCTACTGTGTCAATTCTCTGTGTCCATTCATATGCATATTTTGATCCTGGGCCAAACATGAATCCATAACTTTATTTCTATCATTATTCCCAACCCTTTTTAAAACTTCAATCCTCTACAAACACTTCTCTCCTGTGTTGGCTCCTTTTACTTACCCCCTATCAGGTAATCAGTCCTCCCAAATTCCTCCCCAAACTCTACAGTACTCCTTTGTTTCCCTGCTCGCCTGTTTGACTCCCTCTTAGATGAGGCTACAAATTCCCTGTGCTTCTTTTTGCATTCCCTGAAGTGATCATTAGGGAGTTGATAGCTGCCACCTTACAAGCTACAACCCAGATGTCCATCCCATTTTCTTTTCAAACTTCCTGTCCAGCACAGCTACTGGAGGGTTTTTTTTGCCAATCCCCTTCACATTAGACTTATATCACCCTCTCAAGGTTGTTCCCATGCACTCTGAGTGGATCAGCTTTCTCCACGCCTTTTTGCATTTCTCCCCTAGACAGCTGTTCTCCTGTAAGCAAGGCCCTTGCCATTCGTGAGCTCATTACTGTCACATTGACAGAAATCTTTTCCACTTGCCTTTATCAAACACTGGTTTAGTCCTAACTGGAGTATTGTGTACAATTTTGGGTAATGCCCTTCAAGATGGGTGTGAATTAGAGAGGGTACAGAAAAGGTTCATGAGAAAAATTCAGGGATGGACTTCAGTTATGACATATATATGATGCTGAGGGGTGACAGGATGAACATGGAAAGGATATTTCATCTTGTAGGAGAAATCTAGTACTAGGTGTAACAGTTGAATAATAAGCGGGCACCCATTAAGACAGAAATGAGGAGACTTTTTTTTCTCACCGAGAGTTAACAGTATCTTTGGAAATCTCTTCCCTGAAGGCAGAAAAAAGTCTCTTTAAATAATAAGTCTTTAAATGAGCAGAAGCAGATTGTTGATAAGCGAGGGTGTGAAAGATCATTGGGATAAGGAGGAATATGGTATAATCAAGTCAACCACAATCTTACAGAATGGCAGAGCAAGCTCAAGGGGCTGAGTAGCCCATTCCTGTTCCTTATTTGTATGTTCTAGTTTGTATATGTAAATAGATTGGACAATCTGGAGTTATTCTCCTTAGAGAAATTGGGATGATATTTGATTGAGATGTTCATAATCATGAGGAGTACAGACAGCATTGATAGAGTGAATCTGTTCCCATGAATGAAACAGTCAATAATCAGATGCTACCAATATAAGATGGATGGCCTAAGAGCAACAGTAAAAGTAGCATTTTGTGCAGTTAGGATCTTGAATGCACTGCCTGGTGACTTGGTGGAGGCAGATTGAATAATGGATTTCTACAATACACCAATACCCAAAAAGAAAAATCAGACCCAAGAGGAAAGGATTGGAGAGTGGGACTAGTTCATATTGCAGAGAGCTAACACAGACATGGCAGGCTGACTTGCCTTGCTGTGGTTGCCTGGATCGATTTCAACCATTTAGCAAGATATAATCAGGATATGTATTGGTGACCTACCAGCTTGAAAATGATATTAGCACCTCATCTCTTAAGGGGTAGAGCTAATCAACATACTCAGGTATTCAGCAACCAAGTAATCAGAACACATCCCATTATCTTTGCGCGGCAACATTTTGAAATTAGTAAAGAATTAGTACCTGAAAGTACAGCTCAACAAGTTCATATTTTTCCATCAGGTAATAGAGTTTTCCAGCCAACAGCCATGCCTCTGCTTCCTTGAAGTGCATTCCTAGATCAATAAAATTCCTCAGGTTCTGTTTGGTATAGTCTAATGACAATCTGTAGGAACTAATATTGGAATTTCGTTTACTTTTAACACTTCAACAATTCTTGTGTGATGCATCTATAAAACACAAGATAGATCTAGACTTGTTTTATAAACTAAACTGTGTAAAAGGATACTTAATGTTATTAAAATTCAGTAAAATATTCTTCATTGCAAATGAACAGAATATTTGAATATGAAAGGAATGGAGAGACAATACTGTTTTGAAGAGATATGCATTAATGTAACGATATGATTGCCTAAGGATTATCAAGGTCTTATTAACTGAGTTATTTTAATATTTTTGTTGATATAGTGAGCCCCACTTAATTTTACTCACCTCTGTGTGTTAAAAGACAGGTGAAGGTGGCTTAGGATGTTCAATATTTTCATCTCTTGTTCTTTGTCCTTTAACTTTTGAGAAAGCATCAGCCAGTGCTCATAATATATTCTACATTGCTGTTTGTCATGTAAAATGTTCTCATAGAAACTGCAGAGTTGTTCAAGAGCCTGAACTTGGCCTAAAGAAAAACATATAGCTGATGAGGAAAAAAAAACTTAGAGTAACTATAGGCTTTCACCTTGAGGGAACAATTCAGTGAATTGTATGCTCAAGGTGTGAATTGCGACATTGCAATCCCATTTCCTGACCAATGGGCTTTGCCTACTCCAAGTTCTCCATGAGGTGGCAGGTATGGTCGAGAGTTGAAGTCACCTTGCCAATCAGGTTAAAGGGCTCACTGCTGTTCAATGAGGATCTGTACATTTCTGTATGTAAGTGTTAGGCATCTTAATAATCACACTCTAACCCACCACCTACTCATCCCAGCTCACTCATATCCTCATGTCTATTTCATATGCTTCACGCTCACTCAAAATCTTCATACCTCACCAAAAGACCCCTCATATTCCCATATCTTCTCTCTATTTCTGTCATGCCTCCTCAAAATCCTATTCCTATGCCCCTTCCATTCCCCATGTGTCCTCCATATTTGTCATGCTTAATCAGTCAGTATCCACTATGCTCAAAACTCATGAGTCCTACAATAACACTGGGAGGTCTTTGGGATGCTCATGAAATTGTTAAAATAAACAAATAGCCCTTCAAAAAAGCATTAATCATCTTGAGAGCTCATAAAACTGTCAAAACCATAGCCATTCAAGTTGCATTTAAGAAATTAGTCTTCCTAAGCACTCACGAGCTGTCAAAATAAACAACCATTCAAAAACCATTTCAAAAACACAATCCCATTAACTGTTCACAGAACATCAATCAAAAAAAGCTCAATTCTCTGAACAACTATGTCACTAATTCTTACTAAGTCAAATCCATCAGTGAGACTTTGAGTTCAGTCAAATAGTTGTAATGGACTTCCATTACTTAACTGTATCAACAACATTGCCAGACCGCAGCACATTAAAACCTTCAAAGACCATTGCTTTAAAAATTGAACAGATCATTCATATGGACTTTTTTTTTAATAATCAACTTAAAACTTAATAGTTCTCTAAAATCTGAACTTTAACCTCTTTCTATAATCTCGCTCAGCATTTTGCATAGATCTAGTTGCCATGTAGTGTTTTCTCTCATTTTAGCCCAAATAACTTAATTGTAACATAATAGCAATTGTAATAAAACCGAAAGAACTGTGCTGCTGTAAATCAGAAACAAAAACAGAAATTGCTGGAAAAGCTCAGCAGGTCTGACAGCATCTGTGAAAAGAAATCAGAGTTAACGTTTCAGATCTGGTTACCCTTCCTCAGAACTTCAATAATAGCAATTATCTCTCACTCATTTTCTCTCAACAGCTTCAGGATTCATCTCCTCTCCAATATCCTTCTATTTAATAAAGTTCAATGTATAGCGGTTAATACAGTATCATCATGTTATAATCATCACCTCCAAACTGACAATTCTCTCCTTTGAGTTTCACCTCATTTTTAACAATTTTTAAAAATTGGTTTTTCTAGGAAATAGTTTGCTGATTCTTTTGTTTGCATACACTTGTTCCAGTGCTTCCTCTTAGGATTTCTTATCCAGCTATTACTTTTTTAAATTCTCCTTTTTTAAAAAAGTTATCTTAATCTGCCTTCTGCTTTAATTATTTTACAATCTCTGTTTAGCCCTGGTATTCTCAAAGTTCTATTGCTTTCTTCTTTATCAATGTTATTCCTATAAGACAACAGTCACAAGGGTGGCAAGGTGGCTCACTGGTAGGGTGGCACAGTGGTTAGCTCTGCTGCCTTACAGCACCAGGGACCTGGGTTTGATTCCAGCATTGGATCACTGCTTGTGTGGAGTTTGCACGTTCTCCCCATGTCTGCGTATGTTTGCTCTGGTTTCCTCCCGTGGTCTACAGATGTGCAGGCTAGGTGGATCAGCCATGTTAAATTCCCTGTAATGTCTGGGATGGGTCTGGGTGGGATGCTCTTCAGAGGATCAGTATGGGCTGAATGGCCTGCTTCCACAATGTAGGGATTCCATGAAATCTGACACCCACAGTGATTACACTTGACAAAAGGAAATTGGCCATAAAGTACTTTTGGGTCATACTGAACTGAAAGCTGTAAACTCTTTCTTTCACACATCCCGTGATTTTTAAAATATTTTAATAAAAGTATCTCAAAGTCACGCTACAGTCCTTTGTGTCAATTTCCCATCTAGCTTACATTAACTAGCTTACTCCTCAGCTTTCGACCATCTGCCATAGTCTAATATGATGTTGTAGATTTGTTTAACCACCTGGTGATTTAATATCATCTAAGCTAGTTACATGCCTCGCTGCTGATTCTGGGGCACCTATTTTTCTCATAAGTAATACATCTGGCTCCATCTGTATGACACAGTACTTACAATAAATACTATTGCTTTTCATGGCAATGAGAAGTGCTAGTTCATAATTCAGTCTCCCGTCTTCCCTCAAGCCTCTGTCCACGTAGTATTGTCCTAAACAAAGAAGGACTTGAACACAATCCGACTCCAAGCTGCAGTCTGGCATTTCCAAATATATATTCAGAGAATTCCTGAGGTAGCGTTCTGGCAGTGTTAAATGTTTACAGCACAGAGTCAGAGATCCAAAGTTAGCATGAGCGATAGCTTGGTTATGTTTTATACCAGTCTCTTCTGCAGCCATTATTGCACACAGGCAGTTTTCCAAAGCTTCCTTCAGCATGCCTTTCTTTCTTAAAGATATTGCCAACATGTTATGAACAACTCCCTGCTCAATAGGACCATGTGTCTGAAGTGATGATTCCAGAAGGGAATTCAATATTTCTGACGCCACAACAGGCTGATTATTTAAAAGATACAACCAGGCAAGAAAAAGAGAGATTCTGAAAGCTCCCCCATCACCAATGCATTTTGTTATTTCTGCAGATTTTGTCATGAAATCAATTGCCCTTTCATATGACTTATATTGCTGGTATAAATTAGCCAAAGCAAAATACAAGTCTCTCTGAATGATTGTATTGGTCACACCGGTTGAGAGACTTGAAGCCTTTTGAAGGTAAAATGCAGCTTGTGTTGGTATTTCACAATTACAATACCCTGGATGGTTTAATTTTGAGACAATTTCCATGACCAGATCAGCTTTCTGCAAAGAACCAAACAAGGTGTTGCTTGAGCTGGGTTGAGCAAGTCTTAATGCTGCTAGCGCAAGTTCTGGTAAGCATTTTTTATTATACATTGAGCTTAAAATCAAATGCACATTTACTGGGACTATATTGCTTTTTGAACCAAAATTATTTGAAAGAAACTGCAAATGTTCAGCAAATGGCAACATTTCTTCAGACTTTCCAATTTCCAAAAAAAGTTTTGACATCAGGAAACAGACACGTGCCTCCAGGAGATAATCATCAGCAATCATTGCTTTTTTAAGTATAATGTTAAGTATCTCTAACTCATTCTCCGAGCTAAACATATGGCATGGGATGCACAGGAGAAGAGTTGCAGACTTTTCAACAAGGTTATGAGATTTCTCTTTCATTTTTAGCTTCAAGTACACAGAAGCCAAATTTACGTACAAAGCAGTCAATAGATATAAGTCAGAAAATGTGCCTTGCACCAGAGTCATTGCTTCTTCAAAGTAAACTCTGGCCTGTGAGAACCTGAGTCTTTTAGCACAAAGTCTTCCTAAAAGGAAACAGATTCTGGAATAAGCCCAATGTTTGTTGTATCTTTTGGCTATCTCTCTTGCCATTTCCAAATACTGTAAAATTTCTTTTTCTTCAGTTACCCCATATAAAGTAGACCCTACAAAGGAAAAGGACAAATCATAGAATTGTTTGAATTGCACTATATATTCTTCTTGGTTTAGGAATAGTAGTAAAGGGTCAAAGGTTGCAGGATCACCCAGGCCTCCTTGATTAAGATCTATACAGAACTTTGGTTCATCAAGTTGATCTGGCTCTGGAACAAATTCTTGAAATTCCTTAGATTTAGAAGAATTTATGTCAGGAATGTTCCTTCCACAAACAAGTCCAGCTAGACCAGAAGGGAGATGGTTTGCAGATGCCGAATGAAGGCGATCTCCTGTGGAGATACATACAGGACAGCAAAATATAAAGGCCTCAGAAATATTCGTAAATGAGTCAAAACATCTGAGTCCAGAAATTACTGCTAGTGATATTACTGAACATGTACTGAACCCATTAATCATGAAAATAAATAATTTCACATCTGTGTTAGAATATTCAACAGAGGAATTTCAGACAAAATGTTGTTCAACAAATACTCCTAGTATCCATAACAGTATTTTTTAGGTTAGAATGTTTAGCTTAAGTCAATAAAATTTCAGTTATCATTAATCAGTTTGTGCTGATTTGTTAACTAAATAGTATAAACTAAGAAAGTATTATCAGATTTTGTTTTACCAGGTACTCTGGAGTGAACCCATAAAAACTTCAATTCTTTCACTACAACACTCAAATTCTAGAAAATAGTATTAACTCTTGAAAACAAATGTATCGATAAGCAATTTTGCCCCAATAATACAAATAGTCATGGTAGGAGCAAATTACTGCAGATAATGGAATCTGCACTGAAAACAATAAATGCTGGAGATCACAACAGGTCAGGCAGCATCCGTAGAGAGAGAACAAGCTAACGTTTCAAGTCGAGATGACTCTTCATCAGAGCTGAAGCTCCAGAGTCATCTAGAGTCGAAACGTTAGCTTGCTCTCCCTCCACCAACACTGCCTGACCTGCTGCGATCTCCAGCATTTGTTGTTTTCAAAATATAAATAGTCAACAACTTATGACATGAATATTTCAGTGCAAGTCTTTTTTAAAATAAAATTATTACTTTGAAAGAATTTTACTCACCCTGTTCACTTTCTGACTTTATCTCTCGCAATTTACATTTATCTACAATCGAGAAAACGTACATTCTTAGAAATAGAGAACATCGGCTCAATTTTATAGCCATTCTGCAGTTTCATTGCATTTGTATATTTAAGCAACTAAGTAGATGAAGTGACCTGACCATTTCAGAGCATAGCCCAAAACAAAGCAAAAGCCAAAATTAAAAAACCCCAGAACAAAATACAATAAATTGATTTGTTCAGACTACAGTTATTTAGTTGGCAATTAGACATGCTTGGATTATAAATTGATATAATTAACTGTGAACATTTTTTGAATTATATTTCATATATTATTTGCTATTTTTGTTTTAAATTCCCTCGATTGAAAGACTTCAACTGACTACATATCTGTAATATTATTGTTAATTCATCATAGTACAAAATTCTGAGCAGGAAATCAAGTCATTTCCATTTGTACAACTTGTAATACACCTTGCAGTTGTAAATATTGACAAGCGAACATGAAATTGACAAATAGCAATGTAATTATATAAAATAGATTTTAACTGTGAGCTATAAAATGGTGGCACCATTAAAAAAACCTCAAGAGTTTTTATTAACATTATCAAAATCCTGCAGTTCTTCTTAAATATTTAAATTATTGACAATCATCCTTCTTTGTAGTTTACCAATAATTAACAAAATGCTAAGCTATTTTATGCATAGGGCCAATCATTTTGCCATCACTTTGCAAACATTATGTTGAAACACTAGGGCAAGTAGCATGTGACAATATGCTAATTACTTTCACATATATTCACCAATCACATGTTCACTTCTAGACATAAAATTAGTAACTTCCAAAACTAAGCTGCAACATGAGAACAGTCATCACAATAATATATAACAATTAATTCTTCAACTATTATTAAATTTAGCTTTTTAAAACTTCTTAAAATGATTGAAACATGTTTCTGTTGTGGTAATCTTATAGTCACTTTCGTGTTCTGAGCAATGCTTTAAGACATACAGAGTGAAGTTCAGGGACCTGGAGCTGAGTTTGAAGATGCTACCAGAAGCTTCAAAAACAGGATATCTGGCACCTCTCAGAGTTAAAACGTTGCATGGTGTTGAAAGAACTAATTAGACTGTAGAACACAATGTAACTCAAACCCCAAATGGGCTGCATGTCAGGTATATAACATAACAAGTTCCAAACCCATTGATAAAATACACAGATCATGCACTAAAGCATAATGATGGGACAATATATATACACTAGGGGATTTTTTTTAAACAGTTGGTTAGCTTATTACCACATTCTTAACAGGAAATCACACTATTATAAAGGAACATAGGTTCTCCTCCTAAAACTGTGAGCATTTGAGCTACAAATCAAGGAGGCTAATCTTCAGCAAAGTAGTATGGACCAGCTATGCTTATTGTGAAACATAAACATACACCCATGATTATTCAGCATACTTGGCTGGCAGAGAAGACCTGACATTGTATTGTTAGAGAACCAGCTTTAAAGAGTGAACCCATATATGTAGTTAGTCCAACGTGTTGTACCTTAGAATGCAGGTCTCTTTTAACAGTCCTCCACACAATTTTCAAACCATCTGGTGAAGGCATTTATTAGAGATGTTTCAACTGTCTATATGAAATTATCTCAGACTGGGTTAGTTATTATGGTCTCCCAGTCATGTAGCTTAAAACACTCATGGTCACTACTTAAATATGATCAACAGCCAACAGGGTATCACAGGACTCCAGCACCTATGGGACCATATCCCAGTGAAAATCACCACTTTCAGCATGGAAGATATGATTGAAGCGATAAGAACTGGAAAATTAACCATAAATTAACGTCAGCAAAAACATACCTAAACGATAAACTGCACTGATGTCGCTTTGGCAGAGTGTTTTCAGGAGATTGATGCAATGTTGTTCATCAGATTTTTTAAAGGTAATCAGAGATGATTTTTCTTCATCACTTAAGAACAAGAGATGAGCATCCCTGCAAAATTAAAGTTTAGAATTTTATGTGAACTGGATGTCTGACAGCAATTCAGCATTGCTTCAATTTCAATAAAGCAACAAACATCAAATTAACCAACAAGTGAAAGCAAGAATAAAAAAAAAACTGACATTTGTACTTTGACGAAATTTTACACCTAGATATAATGTGATGAGAATAACTCACAGTATATGTGCTCTTAGCCTTGCAGTAGGAGGGTTCAAGATGAAAATTTACTCTACCTTATCATGTTATTCTGAAGTGCAACATATGCCATTTTTTCAGAATGCAAAGAAATGTTTTAAGTGCTTGCCAGGCACCAGATACTGAAGTAAAAATTGGTGGACCTAATGCCTCATTCCTGGTGACTACCATTTTGAGTAATACATTCCACTCGATGGTGCAGCATCTAAGTAAGGTAGCAGTTTCATTAGCCTGTGTGACAGTAGCTTATTGGAAGAAACAAGATCCATAGACAGCAAAGCCTGATAAGCAAGAATAAAAGACCTCAAAAGATAATTGTTAATACTCTTCTAGTGAGACCAGATAAATGAGTGTTTCTCCAGGGTCCACATAAATTAATGCTAGCTGCTGTGATTTGCTCCTCTTTGATGATAACCATTCCCTCTCTATCTCTCTGCTGGTTAGTAATTTGCGATAACCTGCAAACATGCCCTACACATGACATCCACTTGGAGTTAATGAAGATTAAAACCTGAAAATGGGGTTGGGCACTCACATTAAAGGGAGCATGCAAACAACCTGCCCTCTCTTTAGGCACCTGGCTGTTAAATTTCACCCTTATCTGTTGGTATATATAGAGAGTAGTCACACACAGGATGCTATCAGTCACAAAGTATGGCTTTCTTGTGTATATTCTTCTGAGGAAATCTGTTCAACAAAATGTTTGCTGTTCTGTCCACAATCCCTAAACCATCCACAGTCTAGATAGCATTTACTCTAGCGTGAATTCCCCAAAATCTATTTCATCTCCTAAAGTAAGGCTCAGTAAAATTCCACAATGTATTAAGTTCTGCCAATTATAAAACTAGTAAAACTCTCAATTATCGAACTTCGTATCTTAGATGCTTCACCTTTAGTTGGCTGCATTTCTCAAAATGTTCTAAGAACCCAACAGCACAAGACCATCAATCCTGTCCACAAAATGCCATTAAGTTTATCTGCATTTCTTTATGTAGTCTTCTTTCACTCAGTTGATAATAAACATATCATTCATTTCTTTAGTTCAGAATCTGCTTCACATTTTGGAAAACATGTTCTATTTTAAACATAGAATAGGTGGCACTGCTGCCTTGGGTGACTGATTGTGTGGAGTTGGCACATTCCCCCGTGTCTTTGTGGGTTTCCCCTGGGTGCTAGTTTCCTCCCAAAGTCCAAAGATGTGCAGGCTAGGTGGATTAGACATGGGAAATTCAGGGCTACAGGAATAAGATAGGGGGTGGGTTTGGGTGGGATGCTCTTCAGGTCAGTGTGGACTTGACGAGCCGAATAGTCTGCTTCCACACTATGGGGATTCTATGATTCTAGACAGAATAAGTAATATCGACACAGTTTTAAGAATTCGCATATTAGCCTCCAGGTTGAGAAGTTACTCAAGGAAATCTCTTCCTTACAAGGCACTTCTGTTTTGACTGATGATCCTGACAGCAGATAGATGTAGGTGAGTTCAGTGAAACTAACTATTGATGAATTACATGCCGCTGAATGGCGATGGCAGCAGAAGCATCAGTGATTACCGCATGTACCACCAGAGGGAGCAGCCAAACAGAGATGAGGTGCTTACTCAAAGTGAGGAATGCAAAATTAGGGAGCTGCCCAGGAATAAATCGCTCAGTTAGAATATGGAGAGTCTAGGAACCTTGGTGTTTCACACAAGAATTTGTATTACCCTGAACAGAAAACAAAAAGGGAAATATGAAATTGAAAACTGAGAAATATATATGCGAAGGGGGAGTAGGAACTGCAGATGCTGGAGAATCTGTGATAACAAGGTGTAGAGCTGGATGAACACAGCAGGCCAAGCAGCATCAGAGGAGCAGGAAAGCTGACGTTTTAGGGCCTAGACCCTTCTTCAGAAATGGGGGAGGGGAAGGGGGTTCTGAAATAAATAGGGAGAGAAGGGGGGGCGGATAGAAGATGGATAGAGGAGAGGATAGGTGGAGAGGAGACAGACAGGTCAAAGAGACGGGGATGGAGTCAGTAAAGGTGAGTGTAGGTGGGGAGGTAGGGAGGAGATAGGTCAGTCCAGGGAGGATGGACAGGTCAAGGGGGCGGGATGAGGTTAGTAGGTCAGAGATAGGGGTGGGGCTTGAGGTGGGAGGAGGGGATAGGTGGGAGGAAGGACAGGTTAGGGAGGCGGGGACAAGCTGGGCTGGTTTTGGGATGCGGTTGGGGGAGGAGAGATTTTGAAGCTTGTGAAGTTCACATTGATACCATTGGGCTGCAGGGTTCCCAAGCGGAATATGAGGTGCTGTTCCTGCAACCTTCGGGTGGCATCGTTGTGGCACTGCAAGAGGCCCAGGATGGACATGTCGTCTGAGGAATGGGAGGGGGAGTTGAAATGGTTCGCGACTGGGAGTTGGAGTTGTTTAGTGTGAACTGAGTGTAGGTGTTCTGCAAAGCGGTCCTCAAGCCTCTGCTTGGTTTCCCCAATGTAGAGGAGGCCACAACGGGAACAGCGGATACAGTATACCACATTAGCAGATGTGCAGGTGAACATCTGCTTGATGTGGAAAGTCTTCTTGGGGCCTGGGATGGGGGTAAGGGGGAGGTGTAGGGGCAGGTGTAGCACTTCCTGCGGTTGCAGGGAAAAGTGCCGGGTGAGGTGGGGCTGGAAGGGAGTCTGGAGCGGACAAGGGAGTCATGGAGAGAGTGGTCCCTCCGGAAAGCAGATAAGGGTGGGGAGGGAAAAATGTCTTTGGTGGTGGGGTTGGATTGCAGATGGTGGAAGTGTCGGAGGATGATGCGTTGGATCCGGAGGTTGATGGGGTGGTACGTGAGGAATTCTGCTTTGGTTGTAATTGCAGGGAGGGGGTGTGATGGATGAGTTGCGGGAAATGTGGGAGACACGGTCGAGTTTGTTCTCGACCACTGAGCGGCAGAAGTTGCGGTCCTTGAAAAACGAGGACATCTGAGATGTACGGGAGTGGAATGCCTCATCCTGGGAGCAGATGCGGCGGAGGCGAAGGAATTGGGAATAGGGGATGGCATTTTTGCAGGAAGGTGGGTGGGAGGAGGTGTATTCCAGGTAGCTGTGGAGTCAGTGGGCTTGAAATGAATATCGGTTTCCAGGAGGTTGCCAGAGATGGAAATAGAGAGGTCCAGGAAGGAGAGAGAGGCATCAGAGATGGTCCAGGTGAACTTAAGGTTGGGGTGGAAGGTGTTGGTGAAGTGGATAAACTGTTTGAGCTCCACGTGGGAGCACGAGACAGCGCCGATACAGTCATCAATGTAACAGAGGAAGGGGTGGGGTTTAGAGCCAGTGTAGCTACGGAAGAGGGATTGTTTCACGTAACCTACAAAGAGGCAGGCATAGCTTGGGCCCATGCGGGTACCCATGGCCACCCCCTTTGTCTGTAGGAAGTGTGAGGAATTGAAAGTGAAGTTGTTGAGGGTGAGGACGAGTTCGGCTTAGCGGATGAGGGTGTCAGTGGAGGGGCACTGGTCGGGCCTGCGGGACAGGAAGAAGCGGAGGGCCTTTAGGCCATCTGTATGGGGAATGCAGGTCTATAGGGACCGGACGTCCATGGTAAAGATGAGGTGTTGGGGACCGGGGAATTGGAAGTTTTGGAGGAGGTGGAGGGCATGGGTGGTGTCACAGACGTAGGTAGGGAGTTCCTGGACCAAGGGGGAGAAAATGGAGTCAAGATAGGTGGAGATAAGTTCGGTGGGGCAGGAGCAGGCGGAGACAATGAGTCGACGAGGGCAGTCAGGTTTGTGGATTTTGGGAAGGAGATAGAAGCGGGCGGTGCGGGCTTGGGGAATGATGAGGTTGGAGGCTGTGGGTGGGAGGTCACCTGAGGTGATGAGGTTGTGGATGGTTTGGGAGATGATGGTTTGGTGGTCAGTGATGGAGGCATGATCAAGGGGGCGGTAGGAGGTGGTGTCGGAGAGTTGGCGCCTGGCCTCAGCGATATAGAGGTCAGTGCGCCATACTACAACTGCGCCTCCCTTGTCTGCAGGTTTTATGGTGAGGTTGGGATTGGAGCGGAGGGCTGCACGCCCCACTTCCTACAGATAAAGGGGGTGGCCATGGGTACCCACATGGGCCCAAGCTATGCCTGCCTCTTTGTAGGTTACGTGGAACAATCCCTCTTCCGTAGCTACACTGGCCCTAAACCCCACCTCTTCCTCCATTACATTAATGACTGTATCGGAGCCGCCTCGTGCTCCCACGAGGAGCTCAAACAGTTTATCCACTTCACCAACACCTTCCACCCCAACCTTAAGTTCACCTGGACCATCTCTGATGCCTCTCTCTCCTTCCTGGACATCTCTGGCAACCACCTGGAAACCGATATCCATTTCAAGCCCACCGACTCCCACAGCTACCTAGGATACACCTCCTCCCACCCACCTTCCTGCAAAAATGCCATCCCCTATTCCCAATTCCTTCGCCTCTGCCGCATCTGCTCCCAGGATGAGGCATTCCACTCCCGTACATCTCAGATGTCCTCGTTTTTCAAGGACCGCAACTTCCACTCCACAGTGGTCGAGAACGCCCTCGACCATGTCTCCCGCATTTCCCACAACTCATCCCTCACACCCACTCTCCGCATAACAACCAAAACAGAATCGCCCTCGTCCTCACGTACCACCCCACCAACCTCCGGATCCAACGCATCATCCTCCGGCACTTCTGCCATCTGCAATCCAACCCCACCACCAAAGATATTTTTCCCTCCCCACCCTTATCTGCTTTCTGGAGGGACCACTCTCTCCAGGACTCCCTTGTCCGCTCCACACTGCCTTCCAGCCCCACCACACCCGGCACTTTTTCCTGCAACCGCAGGAAGTGCTACACCTGCCCCCACACCTCCCCCCTCACCCCCATCCCAGGCCCCAAGAAGACTTTCCACATCAAGCAGATGTCCACCTGCATATTTGCTAATGTGGTATACTGTATCCGCTGTTCCCATTGTGGCCTCCTATACATCAGGGAAACCAGGCGGAGGCTTGGGGACCGCTTTGCAGAACACCTACACTCGGTTCGCACTAAACAACTGCACCTCCCAGTCGCGAACCATCTCAACTCCCCCTCCCATTCTTCAGACGACATGTCCATCCTGGGCCTCTTGCAGTGCCACAACGATGCCACCGGAAGATTGCAGGAACAGCACCTCATATTCCGCTTGGAAACCCTGCAGCCCAATGGTATCAATGTGGACTTCACAAGCTTCAAAATCTCCTCTTCCCCTACCACATCCCAAAACCAGCCCAGCTTGTCCCTGCCTCCCTAACCTGTCCTTCCTCCCACCTATCCCCTCCTCCCATCTCAAGCCCCACCCCCATCTCCTACCGACCAACCTCATCCCGCCCCCTTGACCTGTCCATCCTCCCTGGACTGACCTATCTCCTCCCTAACTCCCCACCTACACTCACCCTTACTGGCCCCATCCCCGCTTCTTTGACCTGTCTGTCTCCTCTCCACCTATCTTCTCCTCTATCCATCTTCTATCCACCTCCCCCTCTCTCCCTATTTATTTCAGAATTCCCTTCCCCTCCCCGATTTCTGAAGAAGGGTCTAGGCCTGAAACGTCAGCCTTCCTGCTCCTCTGATGCTGCTTGGCCTGCTGTGTTCATCCAGCTCTACACCTTGTTATCTAATATGTACATGTGAATATTTTATTCAAGTGCCCAATAATGTGTATTGGGAAATTTCAGTCATGTGCAGAATCAGCACTATCAACATTGTTCCAGTATTAAAACTATGAATCTTAGTTGAACAACTAACATTTTTATGCTTTTTAAATCAGAAGATGTTTACTCACAGTGTTTTGAATTGGTCAGGTTGCATGTGTCTTATTTGGACAAACCCAGTTTCTCCAGAATTTAAAGACTTTCCCAAAGCCCACTGCAGGTTAGAAAGAAGGAAGCCAATTATCTGAATTTTTTCTCCTTTTGCGAAACGCAGTTCATCCGCCTCACCCTCTTTGTAATCCACAGTTGCAATACAGGTACCAGTACCTAAAGGCAGATATTGTTTGTAAGTGAAAAGTTGCAGGAAATATTTGTTCATCTTAATTTAAATGACATCTGGCTTAAAAAATACAAATTTCCAGGAACATGCTCTATCTCTATTTCGAAATACATAATGGAAACCACGCGAATCTTCAGGTATTTGTCGCAATCTGTGCCCTTATACAGCAAGACCTGGACAACGTCTTGGGCTGATAAGTGGTATGTAACTTTACACCACACAAATGTCAGGTAATGACCATGTCCGACAGGAGATAATCTAAACATTGCCCCTTGACATTCAATGGCATGACATAAATTGTGTGGCTGCGAGAGCAGGTCAGAGGCCAAGAATACTGTAGTGAGTAACTCACCTGTTGCTTCCCTACTGCCAGTCCACCAACTGCGAGGCACAAGTTAGAAGTGTGATGCGAAACTACCAACTTGCCTGGAAGGGTGCTATTCCAGCCAGACACAAGAAGTCAATTCCATCCAAGACAATGCACCCCACTTGAACGGCATCCCATCTATCATCTTCAATTTTTTTTCCCCCCTTCACCACTGACACAGTGGTAGAGCACAAAAACAACAGATACGTGAGAACACCTTCCTCGCCTGCTCCTCTCCCAAAACACCCACCCCACAACCTCAATCCACACGTCATTGTGACCTGGAACCACATTGTGTTCCTTCACCTGTTGCTGAAGCAAAGTCCTGGATCTCCCTTGCTAACAGCATTCCAGACATCCCTATCCTCCAAGAACTGGAATGGTTCCAGGCATCTCACTGCTACCTTCTCCAGGGCAATTAGGGATGGACAATTAATGCTGGCCTAACCCGCAATGCCCACATTTCATGAACAAAAAAATTTTACCAAATGTTGATATGTAATACTGTGTCATTTGCAAGTGTACAACTTCCTCTCTCTTCTTAGATAAATAAGTTTTGCACAATTTCCTCAAGAAGTTAATCCTTTAAAGAGTCAACTATTTTTAAACAAAGCATTTTTGTTGACCACTTCCTTTTAACTAAATACACAGGGTAAGCTTTCATTGGATTCACTTGCCCCTATAAAATTCCTCATCACCTCCTCCCCATTCATCACATTTGGTTCAAAATTAACGACATCACCCGTGGAACCATAACAATGGGAAAGGAGGATAATTTGAGATGAATGAACATTGTTGAGAGTTAATTATTCAGCTGGATTTAGACAACAAGGATAGAGTGTAACAAAACAGTAAAAGAGAGCGTTTCACTCCCAAGTACCTAAGTTCAATGAGCAAAAAATTTAAGCTCAACCGAATCTCTCACCTATTGATTAAATGAAAGAACTGAGAATCTATAGGAGGAAAAATGCAAAATTATTTACTTACCAATTGACTGAGCAAAATGTTGCTGTTTAGTTTCTTTACATCCATTAAAGTCTCCTGCTCTGACCTTCAGGAACCATCTGTGAATTAATGCCACTGTATTGTAATTAATCAGTAACAAAATATTAGTCATAAAATAAGAGTAAGCTATTCAAAACAGATCTTTGAAATGTTTCAGATTCCTCATAATATGCCTTCGAGTGCTGTAATTTTATTTCAATTAACCTTAATCTAGTGGTTGATTTCACAACATTGATCAAGATTTGTATTTTCAAATTGTACCAAACAGCTGGAAACAAAACTGCATCCTGATTTTAAGGAGATTATATATTCTTCTGAGATTAAAAAAGATGCAACAACAAATTACATACTGTTTCATTTAAATACTGCAATTGCATTTTGGCATTGAAACAAAAGTGGCTTGTGATAGAGTGGGTTTCTCCCTGCGAGCTTCTCACTTCACTGACATAACTTGAAATTAAACTGGAGAAGTGGAAACACAATTGAAGTTTGTCATCTTATTTTCCAAAAGCAGGAATCCTAATTCTATATCATTAGATTCTGGCAGAAAAGCAAGTTTGCAGCTTCTTCATATGGCAGAAACAGGCAGAAGAATCAAATGTAGTAATTTGAGTTTGAGGTTCTATAATCTTCCACCAAGAAAAATACAAACGGGAGAGATTATTTTCCTTACTGGTAAAAAGGGTAGAGAAGAGCCTGTGGTGCAGATACCGGAAGAAGGCCTGTTTCATTGGTCGAAAGCGAAGTTGCTTCCCATTTTAAGTTCTTTCCAATATCTTTGAGCATGATGAGATCATCTTTGCAGATGCTCACGTCTTCCTCTTCATTCTTAAGAATGTTTGATAGGATTCTAGTGAAGAAGGGCCCTTGATGTAGAAATACAACAATTTTAGATTACTTTTAACAAAATAAAGATAAAATCAACAGCATAACAGTGACATATGAACAGTTGTTAAAGAGATCTAATTGTAATGATGAACACGATTTTACCAATTTACTTTATTGGGTTACAATTGTTATTACAGCACTTGAATTCACCACAAAGCAAAACAATTCAACATTTCCTCAGATGGAATAAACTCAAAACCGATTAAACATCTGAATGGTAGGAAGAACATTGAAGGTTAACAGAAGATATTGGGTACAGTTCGAGGCCTACAAGTGCGACATGCTGGGCAGCTACGCCTTCGTACACATGGAGAAGGAGGCAGAGGCCAAGCGGGCTATCTCGGAGCTGCAGGGCTGGCGGCAGTGTGGCACCCCGCTGACGGTGGAGCTGGCAACAGACCGGCTGTGGAATGCCACCAAGCAGTACGTGGGTAACATGGCGGAGGCAGCCACCACCCGGGAGCTGCAGGGGCTGTTCGAGCGCCACAGCTGAGTGGTTGAGTGCGACATCATCAAGAACTACGCCTTCGTGCACATGGAGAAGGAGCGGCAGGCGCTGGACGTCATCCACGCCCTCAGCAGCACCGAGCTGGCCGGCCAGGGCATCTACGTGCAGCTCTCCAAATCCAACCCGGTGCGGGGGCCTGCCCCCCACAGAGGCGGGGTCACCTTTCCACTTACCTCTGAACACATCCACAGGTTTCCTGACCCTCCGCCTCCCTTACCTCCCTCTGCTGTCCCCTTACCATCCTCTTCCCCCCCCTCCCCCGCTACTACCGTTACAACCTTTACGGCCGCCACCTCTTGCACCCCTCTTCTCCCTCCTTTGCTCCCCCGTACCCACTCCTCCTCCCCCTCCGCCCTAGGCCTGGGACCCCGCCGCGCTCTGACTCCACCTCCGCTCCCTCTGCCTGGGACCCTCGCTGCGCCCTGCCCCTACCTTCACCTCCTCCCCTCTGCCTCCCCCTCCTTACCTGAGGGGTGCCCACCTCTGCTGCGGCCAGGACAGTGGTCACCTCAGCAATGGCTATAGCAGCAAGATTTGGGGCTATTGATTCATATTGCTTCATTCCTGAGGCTGGCTGGTTGCTTGGGTGGTGAGAGGAGGTGCTGAGGGTAGGGAATAGGATGAAGGGATGCAGAGAGAAGGGGCAAGGGTTTGCACATTCTCCCCGTATCTGTGTGGGTTTCCTCCCACAGTCCAAAGATGAGCAGGCTAGGTGGATTGGCTATGCTAAATTGCCCATAGTGTTCACGGATGTGTAGATGGGTTACAGGGAAAGGGCAATGGGTCTGGGTGGGGTGTACTGAGAGTCGGTATGGACTTGTTGGGCCGAAGGGCCAGCTTCCACACCATAGGAATTCTATTCTATGATAAAACCATCTCATAGACATTCGACAAATTCCTTCACTTGGAATTAGCTGCCAAATTGATTTCCATCTCTTGATTTATTTTATTCCCCACATTCTGACAACTATTCGGAGGCCTGTACATAACTGCTGTCAGGGTCTTTTCTCCTTTGTGGTTCTTCAACTCTACCTATACGGATTCTACACCTTCCAACACTATGTCACTTCTTGCTATTGATATACAGTATTTTCTTTTATAACTAACGAGGCAATCCCACCCCCTCTGCACATCTGACTATTGTGGTCAAGTCTCTGTGATACCTACAACATCATATCTGCCAATTTCAATCCATGTGACAAGCTCATTTACCTTGTTTCATATACGGTGTGCATTTAAGTACAACATCGTCAGTCCTTTTGGTTTATTCATTTGTGGGATGTGGGTATCGCTGGCAGGCCAGCACTTCTTGCCCACCCCTAATCGCACTCAAGAAGGTGGTAATTAGCTTCTTTCTTGAACCACTGCAGTCCATGTGCTGTAGGTTGACACACAATGTCCTTAAGGAGGGAGTTCCAGGATTTTGACACAGCGACAGTGAAGGAATGGCAATATATTTGCAAGTCAGAATGGTGAGTAGCTTGGAGGGGAACCTGAAGGTGGTGGTTTTCCATGTGTCTGCTGTCCTTGCCCTTCTAGATGGAAGTGGTCATAAATTTGGAAGGTGCTGTCTGAGGACCTTCGCAAATTTCTGCAGTGTATCTTGTAGATCACACAAACTGCTGCTACAGAGCGTCAGTCGTGGAGGGAATGAATGTTTGTGGACATGGTGCCAAACAAGCAGGCTGCTTTGTCCTGGATGGTGTCAAGCTTCTTGAGTGTTGTTGGGGCTGCACTCATCCATCAAGTGGGGAGTATTCCATCACGCTCCTGACCTGTGCCTTGTAGGTGATGGATAGGCTTTGGGCAGTCAGATGGTTAGTTACTCATTGTAGTATTCCTAGCCTCTGATCTCTTGCAGCCACTGTTTTTATGCGACAAATCTAGTTGAGTTTCTGATCAATGGTAACCCGAAGGATGTTGACAGTGAGGGATTCAGTGAAGGTAAAACCATTGAATGTCAAGGGCTGTGGTTAGATTGTCTCTTATTGGAGATAGACATTGTCTGGCATTTGTGTGGTACAAATGTTATTTACAAATAATAAACTCAAGGCTAGGTATTGTTCTGATCTTGCTGCATTTGGATATGCGCTGTTTCAGTATCTGAGGAATCGCGAATGGTGCTGAACATTGCGCAATCATCAGTGATCATCCCCATTTCTGACCTTATGACGGAGGGAAAGTCATTCATGAAACAGCTGAAAACGGTTAGGCCTAGGACACTATACTGAGGAACTCCTGTAGAGATGTCCTGGAGCTGAGATGACTGACCTCTAACAACCATAACCATCTTCCTCTGTGCCAGGTTTGACTCCAACAAGTAGAGAGTTTGCCTCAATTCCCATTGATTCCACTTTTGTTAGGGCTCCTTGATGCCACATTTTGTTGAATCTGGCCTTGATGTCAAGGGTTGTCACTCTCACCTGCTCTCTGGAATTCAGCTGTTTTGTCCATGTTTGAACCAAGGCTGTATTGAGGTCAGGAGCTGAGTGACCCTGGAGGAACACAACCTGAACATCACTGAGCAGGCGCTGCTTGATAGCATTACTGGTGACAGCTTCCATCACTTTATTGATGATCAAGAGTAGACTGAAGGGGTGGTAATTGGCTGGCTTGGATTTGTCCTGCTTTTTGTGTACAGGACACACCTGGGCACTTTTCCACATTGTCGGCTAGATGCCAGTGTTGTAAACGTTCCAGAACAGCTTGGCTAGGGGTGCAACAAGTTCTGAAGCATTGACTGGCCCCCTTCTTATAGCTGTCCCCTAACCTGCCACGCCTGAAGATGCCTTTTCCATACTCTGCCCTATTACTTGTTCTGAAAACTTTAATAACCTCTGCTGACCCCTCCCCCACTTTAACATTTTTCATAATTTTCCATGCAACTGAACCCACCCACCTACTATTTTGTTTAAAGCCCTAGCCACAGCCCTAGTTATGTGATTCACCAGGACTCTGGTCCCTGCATCATTCAGATGGAATTTAGGAAAGATGTGAATGCATTAGAGAGAGTGCAGAAACAACGTACAAGAATGGAACTATGACAATGGACTGAAGAAGTTAGCCTTCTTCTCTCCAAGGCTAACAGTCCTAAGAGGAGATCTGATGGAGATTTTCATGAGCAAGTTTGATAGAGCAGATAGACAGAAACCATTCCTGTTCATAAAATGAACAATAACAAGAGTGCGTAGATTCAAAGTGATCTGCTAAAGAAGCAAGGGTGAAGTGAGGAAAAACTTTTTCATTCAGCAAGTAGTTATGGAGGTCAGTTAGCTGGTTTGTGACGCAGAGTGATGTAACAGCATGGGTTCAATTCCCACACTGGCTGAGGTTTGCACAAAGGTCCCACTTCCTCAACCTTGCCTCTTGCCTGAGGCCTGGTGACTCTCAGGTTAAACCACCACCAGTTCGCTCTCGCTGGAGGGCAGCCCATGATCCAGTTTTATTTAGGGCCTGGAAGTTTGGTGGAGGCAGGATCAATTGAGACATTCAAGTTGGTATTAGATGATTATTTGGATAAAAATAATGTGCCAAATGATGGGGATAAAGCAGATTAGCCGAAGGTAATAATTCACATTTAATGAGCCAGAGCAGGCATGATGGGCTTAATGGCCTTCTTCTGCACCATATCACTTCTTTGATTCTATAACCCTAGCACAGTAATCTAAAAATTTAAATTTAAACCTGGTATCTACAAACTGTAACTTATCTTACGTTAGATATTGTTTTCCTTTTAACACATTTTCTGGAGTTTAATTTTATGGATCTTAGCTCCTAAACAAAGTCTGCGTTTAACCACTCTCAATGTCACTAGGCGAGGGAGAGGAATAAAATCAGCCAGGGTTCACACTCCTGCACATTGCTGAAAAGTAAGACTGTGTTTTGGTAGGTTGCTATGAACTCATTGGCACCTGCCTGTCTCCCTGTCTCAGTTATTAGATGAAGTATTCCAAGGGTTGCTTGTGTTTGTTCACTTTTTCTGCATGACTCACTGCCTTCATGCAGGACTGGGCTCTAGGTGGAACTAAGTCTCTTTTGTGGAACCAGAAGGATATGCCTATCAGTCAACAAAAGGCTAGTTTTGCAATTAACAGATGGACTGGGTCTCCTGCCAACACAAAATAGTTATCAGCATTATTCCATTGCTGACAGTATGCCTATTGTTGAAAGGCAAATCACTTATCTGATGGTAGTAATGAATTTTAGGACACTAATTAAGCAACATAGCTGTGGTGGACATGGCAAGAAAAACACTGGCTCAGATTTTCATCACAACAGAGACAATTCTCTGTAACGTCAAACATCTCTGAAGATCCGAACCTTCCCAAATGCATCATTTCCAACTTTTGTGAAAATGCCTCTGGAGTTGGCCCGGGCTTCATGCATGCACAATTTGCAGAGATATTTGGTCAGATTAAAGTTCATCTGTCTCCAATTATTATCATTGCTATCTCCACAGCATCTGTGGAG